AGTGTCTATTGAGACCTATGAGGACTGCTCCAATGTCAAGCCCAAATTTCCAAACACTTTCTGTGCGAACAAGGCACAAAAATAATGAGTCACAGTAAGAGGTAATATTAGATTGAATGAGAGGTAATGATATTTCGGACAGGAAGAGATAAATCCTGAAACTGCTGAAATTCAAAAAGTACAATACAAAAAAGTCCTAAAGTAAAGCTGCAGTACAGAACTGCTCCCCCTCCTTAACGGGCAACGCGTAGGAACTTGCGGCAGCGTTACTGGACGAAATGCAGGTGGCCAGCTCGCTGAGGTCGCACTGGCAGCTAGTGGATTGCCCTCTCGGGTCCTCCGCCTCCTAGCACTATATAATTCTAAGACGCTGACTCGGACCTCGTCTTCACACTTCCTCTTTTGAGCTCTTTTTTAAATCGAGGGATTTCTGATACATACATTGGCGGTCACGCTGAACCGCCCATCCGGCCGAGCCGAGTGGGACGTGAGGTCGAATTAATTCTCAGAGGGAGGTCGCACTCGTTCGAACGAGTACGACCTCCCTCCGAAAATCCCTCTGAGAATCTCTAAAGTTGGAATTTTTTTAGAAATCATGGAGTTTTTGGCAAACTCCGAAGCATTTGATCCTTCCCCCCCCCCCCCTTCCCATCCATCACCTTCACTCCTCTTGACGAACTTACGAACTTTCGAGATTTTGTGGATGACGTTGGGTGTCAGCTTTGAACCAGGTGTTTTGACGACTATCAAGAACATCAACTACCGGAGGTTAGGAGTAGGGGTAGAGGAGGGGTAGATGGTCGTGAATGTGAAATCAGTTACGAGCCACGAGTAAATCTGCTGCCGCCTTATCCCTGGGTGCAGCTTAATAGGAAGCATAGGAAACGACACTCTAATCGAAACGAAACTTATTTAGCAAAATGGGGTACGATTTCACTCGAGATTGTAATTTACTTATTCCGTGCTTCATGCGGGAAGAAATACTGTAGAATGTTCAGAGCAGCCATAAGCTTAGTAATTAGTATAGAACCACAAAACATCTTTTTAGAATTCAAAGTCGAGCACTACACTTATTGACCTTCGCGATATTTATTCTGAAGTAACAAGCAACTCAGAGCCAACAGCAACCATCATTTTGTTATGAACCTCCGTTAAGGAAATTTGATTCAGGATGGCCTTCCTGGACCACCTGGTGCTGATTGCTTCACTGGTCGAGGTTTACCAGGCATGCCTGGACCGGCTGGTTTACCCGGAAAACGTGGCCCACCGGGAATCGATGGAGATCACGGATCATGTGGAGCGCCTGGGATAGAAGGACCCAGAGGTTTTCCTGGATTGGATGGACTTCCTGGTTTTGACGGAGCCATTGGACCGGTAGTTGTAAACCATTTATTGATTTCAGTTTGATAAGAAAATGCTTCAAATCTGTTTTCGCATTTCAGGCTGGAGAACAAGGAGATCCCGGAAACGATGGCGACTACTGTAGTTGTCCTGTTCGCGGGAAATATCCAGAAAAGATTAAGCTTAGGTATTAGAAGTGTAAATTATTACTGTGAATAAATCTCTATTTAAGCGCAATTAATAACCACTATAGGTTTGAAAACAATGATTATCAAGCAAAAAAAAACAGAGCACACCCGTAAAACACTTGTACAGATCACTGTTAGCTTAACCTTCTTGTTTTTGGATCGGACGAAGTCGAAGGGGCATCGCTGCTGGCGCGCTTCTTCATTACGTCTATCTTCTTCTTCTTTTTCATCCTTGGCGAGTCGACCCTCGATTCTCTCTCCACTTCAGTCTAAACCAGAAAGGGGAATTGAAGCGCGAAAAAAGGTTTATCGAAATGTCAGCATCTAACTTGGCAAGAAAAAGTACAGTAGGTAAAACTCACTCTTACGGCCCATTGTCTTTCAAGAAAGCGTAGTATGTACGGCTTTTTATCGTTAGTAATCTGCTTCTCATCATCACGACGTGGTACGTGATAGGCGACTTTGACAGCTTTTGTGCCGTCCTGGGTCTGAACGTTATTTTTAATTTGCTTCAAGACTGGCTCGACGTAGTTAGGGTAGAGAATTGAACTGTGAGAGTGTAAAATGTTCACATCAAGCTATAGAAATGCAGTTAAATAACAATTAAGGCGCAATTTTAGCGATGACCGCAGTACGGAAATGAGTTCCGAACCTAGCATAAACAGTTTCAGGTGTGAAGAAAACACGACATGATAGTACCGAATGCTTTGTCGAAATTACAAGAGATGCACCAATAATTTCGCTGACAATCTTACACTAAAGTTGGACTCAGCTCAACTGGCTCAGAAAAGAAATTGGACTGAGCAAAAGAGCAGAGACTGAGCAAATAAAATATCCTCTAGTTTGTCAACAAAACTTAATAGCAGTAGCTTACTTGCTGCGACTAAAGACTGAGTGCACGACAACGAAGCGCATGTAAGGTGTGCCGCATTTAACGTTTTTGACTACGTGTAAGTCATCATTTGGAATTGATAATTTTGCCGCCGTTGGTTATCAGATCCGAAGAGTTGATCGAAGTTATGACCACACTATTAGCAATGAATTCGTGAGAAAAGACTAATTTAGAGTGACAATAAGGAATACGACATGCGTAATAGGGTTACAGGTGAAACTCCAGTTCGGGGGGGGGGGCACTCCATTGCTATCTTATCCGTAGTACTAGAGAGCAGTTCTTTGGGCTATCGAACACTACGGATAAGATAATAAGTGAACGACTCATTTCGAGCGTACTTTTGATAAGGACCGGTGGATGTCCTACATTCCACACTACCTGCCCACATCCCATCCACTTTTCTGCACAGGTGATCCACCCTGGAGCTCCTGCACCCTTAGCCCTTTGCGGAGGTGTCCTTTCTCCTGGTCCAGGACCGTTCCCTTGGGTCATGGCAGGCGGAAATGTGAAAACGTTTCAGGGTTTCTCACCCATTACACATATTTATCAGAAGTCTACTTTAATTTATTTATTTATTTATTTATTTATTTATTTATTGCACGCTTAGGTGCGCCACATTAATTCAAGATTAACATCAGTAAAACTAGGAAACACAAAACACTGTTAAGTGTTTTGAGTTTCCTAGTTTTACTGATGTTAATCTTGAATAAATGAGTCGATTTCGTGTCGTGAGCCCTCTAATGCTTATCTTGATGGAGAAAAAATGGAGTGCCCCCCCCCGAACTAGAAGTTCACCCGGGTTAAAGTTGTGTATTGGACATGGAAAACTTACGCGATTCTACCGCCCCGTTTGACTGGATTGTGTCGTAAACTCCTTCACTATTCCCCACAAACAAAAGATCAACACAATTTTATTCGAACACTCAATTACAGAAATACTCGAAAAAATAATTCGCAGTTCCTTCAAAAAAAGATGTCGTTTCTCGGTTCCACATACTTAATCGTACCATTTTACAGCCGCTACAAGGTTTGAATCAATTCAAACTTGACCGCAGAAGTATTGTAAGAAATATAAGCAAAGCCAACCATAGCGAAGGCCACGATCAATATAACAGGGCAGAAGCTTGCGCCAGCTATAAATGAGCTACTATTCACATCTCCTTTACAACGCTTTTACTCCCACAATTAAGAGCTGCAAGCAGCATAAAAAGCTGGTTTTGCGAAATTTGCAATAGTCTTTCTGAAGATGGGGCAACAAGCCTCTAACAACACCTAATGTAATTTACTACCTACCGTAACTCATTGATGGTTACCTTGCACTCCTTTCTAGACAATATGTAAACCCATAGACGCACGATTCTTAATGTGTGCGATGTAACAACAATTTCGAATTATTTACGGATCCAATTCTGATGCCGTAAAAATCGAACTGTTTTGGGTTGGCAAATATACAAGGGCTATGAGGTGACCCGCTTAGAATCTGAATACATTATGGGCTATGCATCACCCAATCGCACCACTATTATCCCGGTAATCCCTTTTCTATTCTGCATAACTACGCACTACTTTAGCACATTACCCATGCTATTCGCTTCGAAAGGGAACATTATGTAAAGATTGGCATATTGGTTTTATTAGAACAGCATGACGACTTCAACGGTGATAGAACATAAGCAAAAGTCAAAGACCTGCCTTAATTGAACCCGTCATGGATTATTGACAAAATCAATTATAGCTCACGTTTTTGCCATTTCTAGTGGATTACTTCACCATAATTGCCTCAAAACGCCATTGGTACATATGGATATGGCAGGGAGTCAAGCTTTTAAGAAAGTCAAACAGGATTCCAAAAGCAAACTACTGCTTTCTAGCCCACACACCCAAAAACAGAAGAAATTGCACTATGCTGAACCACTTAAAATAAACTGTAGAAAAATCTTACAAGCATACTAGCTACGACCGGAAACCGAAAACGGTGACGTAGAAGTTAACATAATAACGCAATAGACCCTCTTAACCCGAAGTTGGTTTCTTTCGCCACAAATTTTGCGACAGTGCTTATTGCAGCACTCCTATGCGTGACATCTGTTTTTGATGAATTGGTTTTCCGAATTCATTTGTATGAGTAGGAGGCACATTCAATCAGAACGTCTAATTATATGTATGAACGAGGGAGGACGCCTTCATGCAAACCAATTTAAAACAACGGCAACCACTCTTCTACTATGAAAATTCGGAAGTAATACTAAACTAGCTTCCTTTTCAAAAAAGAGAAATGGTTCCCTCATC